TGTAGTTCTTGTGGTATGAGCCTTTATTTATCGAAATTTCCATATATTATATATATAAAGGAACTTTTTTATTTTTTTTTGAGGTACCTTCTTTTCATTTGGTGTCCGTATGATATCTGCCTCCCTCACGGCGGTACTGATTATATGTATTTTATTAATTTTTTTTATTGTAAAACTTATTTTGAACAAATAAAAAAATTAAAAAAAATTAATGTTACGTTGCCATCATTTGCGTGTATTTTTATATGGTTATAAATAAAGTCTTTTGTCTACGTCATTGATTAAGATCACAAATAGCAGTGATGCAAGAACTAATTCTTGAGGAACGCCACTTGTCATCAATTCCCACTCGGACATTTATTCTCCAATAATTACTCCTTGTTGTCTAATAGCTGGCTAACCAGTGATCTAGTTTAATAGCTGGCCTCAAATGCCATTTATGGCATGGATTTGTACAGCATAAAGCATGCCTTATAAACCTTGTTGAACTCCGTAACATTTAAAAAAAAATTATCTTGGACTCCTGGTTTACATCTATTTTAACAAATTTGCCAAAGCATCCAACACGTTGTCACACAACGACTTTTTCAAAAGATTCATGCCTATAAGTATGATTCTTATGAAGTTGTTGTGCTTTGTTGAGCTGTGTTGAGCTTTGCACGGTATAGATGAGAAACACCATCTTGTAGTTATAAGTTTTGACATTTTTTCATTTTTTGAGAGTTTTTTGCGATAAAATTTTATAACTCTTTTTATAATTTTGGAACTTAAAAGTTTTTTTCAGAATAATCAAAAAAGTATTTATAAATTTTTTTTTTTGAAACACCTTATCTTTAACTATAAAATATTTTTTTTAAATACGACCTAGTTTCTACTTTAATGGAGTCAATAAAAAAACAAATAGTTGATCCCCACCAACCAAACAAAGAGATTGATTATTTAAAACTACTTGCTGTCCTAACCCGTAAAAAGCGGGTCTTGGTAAATCTATTCAACACCGACCTTTTCTATACTTAATCGTTACTTCAATATTTTGAATAAGCGGCAGAAAAATAACTATATACATATAAAAAAACTATACTTATTGTTTGCTTTTTAAAGCTATGAAATTTTTTTTTTCCTGTTTTAATTAACTTTAAAAAGCTTTAAATGTTCTTGTAGCCGTTGCGCGAATCGCTATTTATCAACGGATTGGATATTAGCACCTGACTAAATAATACTCAGAATACCCGCTTGAAATGTGTTAAATAATTACCATCGGTAGAAGTTTCAAAAAACATGAGGAAATATGTGAAATAACGATCTTACCGAGCATACTTTTTAAACCCCCTTACTATTTAAAAAGAGTTTACCTTGCCACATGGCAAGTTTACTTTTTTTTTCATTTTCAACTTTTGTTATGCAATGTAAAACGAAACAACTTTATTTCTTTCAAAACAAACTTCTTTCTTCAAAATTGTTTTATTTTTTATTTTAGAAAAACCGAAACAGATTAAATTAAAAAGAAAAAAGAAAAAACGTTAGCGGTAGGAATATATTTAACTTGTATTTCATATAAGTTAATATTTATATTTCATATGTTGATATTTATATTCATAAGTTTATATTTATATTAATAAGTTGATATTTATATTTCATATAAATTTCATATAACACTTATATTTCATACAATTTGTCTCGGGCCTCCACATTAGAAACCCGCGTGCTATCCACTCGACAACGTAGACATATTAGCCAGTTAAGGTTTTAAAACTATATAATAATAAATAAAAGACTTTATAAAACGGAAATAGATGCTACAGATCAAATCATGAGGAGGTGTTGCTGCAATGCGATTTTCAAGTGAAAGTAAATCTATAAAACTTGATATATGTTTTAGTATGTTTTAACATCACATAGGGGAGAACCTTAATGAATGGGACAATTATTGAATGGGACAAAATCAAATTTGAATAGAAGCATCTTCGGTTGGCTATCCAAACTCCTGTGGTAATAAGTGTTTGACACAACCATTCAACAGACCAAATCTTTATTTCTATTATGGTCTAAACGTAATGGCATTGGATGTTATTGTGTTTTGAAGAACAATAAGTAATTTTTAAAAACAATTTTCTGTGTCTGATTCTGCAGCGATTACTAAAGTTAAGGAAAATGAAACTCCAATTTTCAACACCCAAATGTCTCCTTTTAAAATTTGTAAAGTATTTTTGTTTAGTTATTACTGTTTTTAACCTGTCCTGTCATTTGTGGATATAGTGGGAAGCCTATTGAATGGGACAAAGTATTGATTATTGAATGGGACTTGTCCAAACAGCCTGATATGAAAAAAGTAAAAAAATATATTTCGGCAACTTAGTTATGGTCACACATAATTTTATTTTTAATAAAATTTTTTGTTTTACTAAAAACAATTATTCTTGTTTTTAATTTAATTTTAATATACATATATTTTTTAATAAAACTATTTTAGGTTTGTCAATATATGCAGACATTCGGCCATATTTATAGCTTTTTCGGGTTCCCTAATGGTAGAAACTACCCTTACTGCTTGACTGGCTTGAAAGTTACTTAGGACCTCTCTTCTTTTATTAATTTTTTAGATTTGTCCCATTCAATAATTTTATTTGTCCCATTCAATGAGTAGTTCTTAATGAATGGGACAAATGCCATGGTCTTATTAAACTCTCTTTTTACCAATACCCATATGCGGAATCAATTTTTTTGTTTTTGTTTATCATACGAGAGTTAACAGTTATCAAACTATTTTCAAAGTGATTTTTAAACAAATTTATCAACCTCAAAAAATGCATTTTACGAAAACTGTCCCATTCATTAAGGTTCTCCCCTAACTTGAAGTTTACGTAAGTTATATATTTGCATACACTTTCGTTCATTTTGCATATAATAAAAAGTGTTGCGGTTCTTTCTCGCTATTGCTCCGGTTGCAATGGCTGCCAAGAGTACTGTGTCAAACACGCTCGAATGAGTACTGTTAAGTTGCTTATTATAATATATGAAAATTCTTTGATAATATAAATAAATCAATGTTAATTTCTTTTTACATCACCAAGTAAATTTATTTTATACCTTATTAATACAAACAACTGTTTTACTTTTTTGTAATTGTGGTCGTCGCGCAGTGGTTAGAGCGCTTGCTTTATAAGCAGGAGATCCAGGTTCGAAACGAGCTTTGGAAATATTTCGCGTCACGGTAAGGAAAGAGGCGTGAACTTCCTGGTTAAAAGCACTTCCACGGTGCTCTGTGACAAGACCGTTAGGTCTTCTAGGAGCACCTAAATAATGATTAAAAATAAAAAATAAAAAAAACAAGGTTGATTAAGCTTATTTTTTTTTTGTTTTTCGTCTTCTAGCATCCCTATTATCTTGGCGACCGGGGCACGTATGCCCCTTTTGCCCTTTCCTATCGGCGGCCCTGATAAGTAACAATATGTTACAACAAACATTTTTTATCAAGCTACTATCGAATATATGAAATGCTTTTAAAATCACCGTGAAAATAAACTAAGCATTCACTTTTAGAAAATTTTGTTTTTTAAAATACTGCTTGTTAATTTTCATCTTAACGTCGTAGTTAAAAAAAATAATGTTGTTAAGATAAAACATATTGTTATACATTGTATAATTACTTTGAAACCTGTAATTCTTTTCTAATTGATACATATACTGATAAGAAGGGGATTACAATAAATGGTTAATTTTAATGCCTATACGCATTTTATTATTACTATACGCATTTTATCATTACTCTGTAAGTCTACATAGTGTATATCATTGCTGAATATTAACAAAATAATCTTTTCTAATAAAGCTTATTTTGTGACGTATATTATAAAAGATAAAGGTGGTTTATGTATAACTATCGATAAAGCGTGGCGTTAGAATAATAGGGTTCTATCTCCCTTTTGTACTGTTGAGAGAATTTAACAAAATTTGTTATATTCTCCTAAATTTTAAAAATTAAAAGTAAAAACTTGTTAAATTCGTTAAATTGAAAGATCAAAATATTAACTTTGTTAAATTTATTGCTTAGAACACATATTATTTATTTTTTATTATATAATATGAGAATAATAAGGTATTATCTCCAAATATTCATGGTCAAAAAATTTAATTTTCTGTTTTTAGTTATAATATTATTTTTGCGTTAAAAATTATATAATTTTAATATATTAATCTTATTATTATTTATATAACTTTAAAAATTCTTATTTTTTGTTTTTTCATTGTCAATATTAACCTTATTTAGGAAAGTTGGAATTAACAATTAATTTGTAAACAAGCAATGTTAAAAATTATGAAATTAATAATGTACGATTAATTATAAAACATTAATAACATAAAAAGCATATATTTTATAAATATAAACAACAACATCAGTAAAACATTTTAATAACTAAAAATTGAAAGTTAAATTCTCACAACGTTAAAAAATGGAGATAGAACCCTATTATTCTAACGTTACGAAAGTAAAGCCAATAATAAAACTTCAGTTATTTGGCTGTGTGAATGGAAAAAACTTCAGTTATTTGGCTGGGTGAATGAAAAAAACTTCAGTTATTTGGCTGGGTGAATGAAAAAAACTTCAGTTATTTGGCTGGGTGAATGAAAAAAACTTCAGTTATTTGGCTGGGTGAATGAAAAAAAGCAATTGTTTTTGTTCAGTAATTGGTTAGCTTTTCATATTCACGTAAAGCTTAGAAATAAATCAACGTTTTTGCTTAACTTTACGTGAATAAAAATTTAAACGATTTGCTCAAGTTTGTATTTACGTAAAGCTGAATAAATACTCCAAAAACGCTGAATAAAAGCAACTGTTTTTTTTTAATCACCCGGTCTATTTAGACAAAAAACTCCATTTTAACATGTAGTAAAATATAAAACGTGACTAATGAAACTTGCAACATTAAAGTTAAACGATAATGTTACAACTTTTAGTGCAACACAAAACAACTAAAAGTGGTAAATATTAAAATGGTTACCTCTTCTTGAATCCCTTGGTCATTTGAAACGTTTATTAAACTTACATAAGTACGACTTAATTTACGAGAACCCAATTTTTTGGCTATTTTTCTTGACACCATTCAAAAAAATTATTTAATGTTTTCTAAATATTAAACAAACGCAATATAATTTTTTTTATAATTGAATAAATAAAGTGGAATTTTTAAACGTGCAGTTTTCCTTTTACAATGTTTTATAGCATTCTAAAGCTTAGAAAAAGCTTGTAATTTAATTATATTTTTTAAAATAACAATAAAGCTAATTAGGCATTGAAAGTCAAAAGTTTAGCAAAAGGTTGATAAGAGATTAAACGTTGCTTTTGTTTGAAACTTAAGCTGCTATTTCCACTTTTCAATACTCGGCCATAACATAAAACTAAAACATGCAAAGTTTACGTCACTCAGGCCAACCAGACGAGGACAAAAAACTAATTTATTACGTGAGAAGGTGATAAGGTAAAAGCTAATTTTTTATTCTATGCATGAACTTAAACTGAAACGAAAAAACAACTTCAAAATAAATGAACATTTTTTCCATATAATGCAAACTTGTACGTCAAGTTACTTTGATAAGGTCATTAAACAATTTGTTCTCAAGTTAGAAATGCATTTTTAACTTTTTAATGTTAAAGAAGGTTGGACGAAAGGACCATTACAAAAATCTCTGATGAAGTTTTTTAGTTTTTTTTGTAGTAACAACCTTATAAGGTGCTCTAAGAAGGCCAAAAAGTCTTATTACAGATCACCACGAAAAGATCATTTAAAAAGATTATATTACAAAACCGCTTTTTTAAAAACAGACAAAAAAATAATTAACAAAAGAGTGGATACAAAAAAATTAAAAAAAACCTGTCAAGAAATATATATTATATTGAAAATGTACCTATGCAAAAGTAACTATTTTCTTGAACTTAAAAAAAAACGATACGTAATGCACGATTGCAGTAATTCACGATTACTTAATAATGAACTTAATTAAATTGACTTTTGATTTATTTTAAACTTTTACAGAAGCAGTAATAAAAAGGGGGTTTGACGATACTTGACAACTTTGTCTCTGTGAAACATTTTTGGCATTAGATTTGACGCTACTAGAACATTGAAACCTCTCTCGCTACCCATTGGTAATCATTTTGATGCCTTCCTCAGAAAATTTTTTTCCTCCATGGTTTAGTACTACCAAGTGGCCATTCCATGGAAAAAATGAAAACGAATAATATGTTAGCAAAAAAAATGTTTAATTAAGTTAATATGCAACATTACGAAAACGTCCTTGCTCGAACTGAGCGACAGCATTCATGACAAGGAATACGACAACGTCTACTGATCCAATACTAGCTGTTAGCAAAATATTTATTTTGATGGCATCTCCTGTGTTTTTTAATTTTAAACCACTTCCTCATCATGCTGATCATGCAGATTTGAAATCAGTGGCTAAAAATTGTTGGTTACTATAAAATTTCATAAATTCCTGTAGGGGTTATAGATTGAAAACCATCTTTAGTATTCAATATGTTTGTCTCATAACTTGAGTTAGGGGAGGAACCAGCAAGACAACAGTACATTTCTTCGAAGAAGTGGTATGGTAACATCCCATTTGAATATTTGAGTGAGTAACCGTAACGCAGTGGTAGCGCGCTTGCCTCAGAAACAAAGGATCCGTGGTTCAAAATTCACCTTTGGGTAAGTTTTGCAATATTGGTTAGGAAGGAGGAGTGAACTTCCTATGAAATGCTTATCCGCGGTGTTTTGTGATAAGACCATAAAGAGTTCTTGGAGCACCTAAATAAAATTAATTTATGAGACAATGGTATTTAACATTATTTTAAAATCTAAAATTAAATAAAAGTAAATTTAAAGCAAATTTTGGTTTGAATATAAAACAAGGTTCGGCAGAGAAGGAAAAAGTTAATTTTATTTTAAATACAAAATTAATAATACAACTTCAAAAATTATTTTAACAAGTGATTTAGGATTACAGTAGGCACAGCCATCAAAGTTTACAATTGATTTCAAAGCATTGGGTATTACGTATACAGGAAAAAACCTATTATACCATCAAAAGCAGTGAGCGCTTTTGAAGGGTTAAAAAAAAAAATTTAAATATCTTTAAAAATGAGGATGGTAGTAAAGTTACACTAAAAGATTTAATTAATGTTGCCGACAATTTACAAATTGTTACCAAGGAAACAAGTGTTAAAGTTAAATAACAAAATAATGAAATTTTCCAACTTAAAGATAAATAAGCAGATGGTGAAGCAAGAAATAATTTAGCGTTAGATAAAGTCTCTTGAAAATCTCTTGAAAAAAGTATAGCAGATCTTAAAAATAAGAATAATACAAGGTTGGCTCAGCTTAATGAATCTTTTAAATTATATAATAATTTAAAAGATTCATTAATAATTATTAATAATAACCATCAATTTGGCGATTTTATACAGCTTTGTCTTAAGTTCAGAGGGCTAAGGAGCCAGGTTACGAATTTCGAAAAAAAAGTGTCGTTATAAAAAAATTTAAAAACGTCTATTTATCGCTGTAGCAAGTTGTGATAAAACCGGCTTATTAATAGGAGTTGTTGGTGTTAGTCTTGTAGGAACAGTCGTAGGAGTTCCTGTAGGCATAGAGTTTGCTGGAGCCGGTGCAGTATGTGGAACTAATTTAGCTGTACTCAGTTTGATTCAAAAATAATATAACAGCAGTAGCAAACTCTTCTACATGTTATATACTTCAGCCGCTGAAACCAGATCAGATTAATCATATCAGATTAATCAGGAGAAACGGAAACCAATGAAGTTGACAACCGTCCTGAAACACTTCAAAATATCCAGAGATATTTAACTTTGTGGTAAGCTTAACAAACACTCCAGCAATCTTTTACTATTTTTTTATTGGCTCTGGAGGCGCTAGCATAGATGTAGGCGCTGTTTTTGTTATTTTCAGAGGAGGAACTTTTTTTTTTGCATGAAAAAATATACAGCAACAATAACTCCTACTCCTATAGCACCATAAGTAAGATTAATATTTTCAAAATCGAAGATTTTTTACTTTTCTTTTCTTTTTTTCTAATTTTGTCTTTGATTCTTCTTCTTTTTCTACCATTTTCAAGATTTTTTCTTTCTGCTTACTTAGTTCAGCAAAGTCTGTCGTTTTTCTTTCCGTTTAGCAGTAGCGACTTGTCCTGCTAGTATTCCTTTTTCAGATTTCATTTTGGGCACAGGAGTTTCTTCCATTATTATTTGTAAAGATTTTGTTAATTTTTAATTGAGAAATTTATTTTGTTTAAAATTATTGAGTTTGTGATTCAATAATAAGTAGATATTCAACAATAATTAAAGGTTGTAAACTGTTGTGTTCAATGATAAGTATACATTCAACAATAATTAAAGGTTGTAAACTGTTGTGAGAAAATTTATACATTCAACAATAATTAAAAATGTATACATTCAACAATAATTAAAGGTTGTAAACTGTTGTGAGACATTCTATATAAAACATTACTTTTGGAGGTGTTGGTATTGTATACAATATCAGCTTATATATAAAATTATATGGAAAGCTATAGCTTTCCATATAATTTTATGCAACCACGTCACTGAACCATAAGAAGTACGAAGAGTTTCTTTTAAAGTATTTAAAGTATATTTTACGCTTGACTGTCCTTTATCGGACAGGTAAATAAAGTGTCTTGTACTCGGCATTTTATTGTTGATTGTTAAGATTCTCCATTTGTTCGTTTATTATTATTTTGGAAGGCTCAGGAATCATTTCTTGAGATTGTTGTTTAATAATCCAATATAGAGGGGTAACGAAAGATGAGTAGCGGTTGATAACATAACACTAAGAGGTGCAAGATCCATACCAAATCTATGGTAAAACTCATCAGCCAAAATACAAAAACTTGCTGAAGCACTGGATTGTTATTAAGATCAGCTTTTAACCTTCATGATCCCTGATCGGGAAAATTTTTTTCACAAGCTATGTATAGGTTATTGTTGCCATTTTTGAAATTCCTTTATCCATGCTTTACCCATGATAAAGCATGGTAATTGGTAATAAATACATTCACCAATGTTTATACGCATTGTGTATTTGCTATATAGTGAGACTATTTCATCAGCAGTCATAATATTTAGCTCTTGGTGAGTTAGTATTCTGCCATGACCTATACAAACTAACAGAGCTATCTTCTGTTTCAATAGAGTTTTCATCCTTTTCCATAAGCTCTTTTAAAATTTTTTCCATCGTGCAACTTCAGTTATTCACTTATAAGTTGACCTTTTTTTCCTATAATTATTCTAAAACTGAAAAGGAAAAAGCATACTTACTTAGGGCGTCGGGAAAGTTTGTTCAACTTATTAAAAAAATTATGTATTCAAACAAATTTTATGTTATTATTATATATTTTGAAGAGCATTTATTTCTTTACATTTTGGTTTTGTTTTTATTATATATTGCTTATATAGTAAAAAAAATTAATTTTAGTTAAAGCACTTTAAAAAAAACTTTATAAAATGAATAAATTTGAATATAGAGCATATATTAAAACTCGTGCTCTGCTTGAAATTCCTTCAACTAAGATATCCAACGAACTCGAAAAAGTTTAAGGGGACCAAGTACCAAAGTATAGAACAGTTGCCAAATGGGCCACTTTGTTTAATGATGGAAGAGAGAGTTTAGAAGATAACCCACGCTCTGGACGCCCAACTACCATGCATACATCTTCAATATTGAGTTAGTTTGGAAAACAATTGAAGATAATCCTCGTCCAACTTTTAACGATATTATGGAGTAATCATCTATTAACCGATATACGTTAGGAAAAATCATTCATGACTCACTAGGGTTGAGAAAATTTTTATTGCGATACCCCACCAATTAACAGAAAACAATTAAAAGGAGAGGGTTGAAGCTTGTTGTGAAAATTTAGCAAAATTTAAAGAAGGTAAAAGGCAACTGTGTAATGCTATTACTGGTGATAAAATTGTGGTTTACCTTGAGACAGATTGGACACAAGTTTTCTAATGCCAGCTAAGTACCCAAAGGTGAATCTCTAGAACAGTAGTACGACAGGCCCATTTTGAAATAAAAAACATATATTCCATCTTCTTTAAGATAACAGGCGTTGTTCATACTGATTATTTGGAAAAAGGTAAGAC